GGCACATTAAACATAATGTGTCCAAATCTCAACTCTAGGTTTCTGCCCATTGAAAACTGTATGTTCCTCTCCTCCCTGTCTCAGAAAATGGCAATTCCTATCTTCCAGTTCATCAGGTCTAAAGTCTAAGAATCATCCTTCCTTGACTCTTTCTTTCCCTCACACTCCACACCCAGTCTTTCAGCAAGTACTGACAACTCACTATCAAAATATTTTTAAGAGAGTATTTTAAGGAAGAAAGAAAACAAGAAAGAAAGGGCTAATCTAAGAATCCTTTTTGAGTTGACCATCACTCCAAGAAACTGTTTGGGACATTTTGAGAAGCTTTATAGAGTGTAACTGAGACCCTTCTGCCCAGAGAAAGAAAGGAAGAAACAGTTATCCATTGACTCTTATCCTCCCTTCCTGGTGGCTCATGTGTCAGTGTTGAGCCCATTCCTATTGGTGTCCCAAGCCAGGAAGGCATCAGGGAAGCCTGGAGAAGGAAGCAGCCTCTACATCAGAAGCTGGAATAAGAAGTGAGTCTGAGAGGATTTCAAGTGGTATATGAAAGGTATTTGCCACAACTCTCAGAACAGTCCATGAGCATCTCTTCCCAACTCGCATAATCAGTGATGTAACATTGGTAGCTTGAAATTGGCTACTTTAGAATATTTACACCATGGAAACTGGCAAAGCTATAAATCAGGCTTCCTCCCTCTTGCCCACCATAGCCAGTTATTAAACATTTGCTAGCACCACACTGACTACAAGTTCTGTTTTTCAGAGAGCTACAGTTTACCCCTCTCCTGCTCCTTCTCAGAACTGCAGCCACATTAGTTCTTTTTGTACTTCTTTGAAATCACTTCTGTGCTTCCCTCCTTTGGGCCATTGCAGATGGTTTTCCCATGGCCTAGAACTCCAAGCAGGAATTACTTCTTGACCGAGTAATTCCTCTATATCTTTCATAGCTTACAATTGTCATTGCCTCTGGAAAGCATTTGCTGACCCCCAGTCCAGGTCCCATTCATTTGTCATCTACTTTTAACTGCATATAAGTGATTATTTAATTGATACCTGTTTCTCCAGCTAGACTACAAGTTCCATGAGGGAGCAAATCATCACCATTTTTCTCACTTTTGCATTCCGCATACTGAGTTTGTACATTTACTGAGTATCTCAACAAAAATTTTTCAATCAACAGTTATTAAAAGCACTTTTACCATTCTCCCATGAGTGGAATTGCAATTGTTTTAAGAGTATTAGAAGAGTCCTTATACTTGAAAATGGTGGGGGGGACCATGTTGAGAGGAGAACACAAGACATTTTTTGAACGGGCATCACTTCCAGCTATAATCCATTGATATAAACCCCCAGTCACATAGCTCTACCTATGAGGGACATGAGAAAGGTACGTTAGCCAAGTGTCCAAGAAGAAAGGATATAGTAATAAGTTTGATAAACTAGCCAGTCTCTGCCACAGTCAGCCCTTTTGGACATCAAATATCTATCCATTTTTATTTCCTGACAAATCACACTCTTCCTCTCCCCAAAGGAGGACTTAAAATTCAACCAAAGTACACATCCAGCTCAGAGTCCAGGATCTCTGGCTGTTTGCAGTCTTCCCCATCAGGTCCAGGTGTGACTCCTTCTGGCCGGGTAATAACGTGTACCAAACATAAAAATTATTTCCACCTTTCCCCAGAAGCACACAACATCCAGTAGTGGGGCAGGTACAGGATACCCTCAGGAAAAACTCTCTTAGTGAAAGGAAAAAAGAGAAGACACATAGCAATCACCATACCAAAGAAGTTATAGAATCTGCTGGGGAGTCACTGAGAAGCCCCTTACCCTGGAGGTGGGGAAGCTCTTTGAGTATACAGTGATTCTGTTCTGGGAGTAAACTCCCATATTCATTTTTTTAGTGGCCCCTGGATCCACTCTGGGAAGTTTTTTTCCTGCTTCTTGGCCACATCTTGCTATTATCCTCCTTCAGAACTGTACAGCTTTTGTGGATCACTTCCAAATAAAGCCACCGTATTTTACTTTTGAATATTCAATTAAACCAAGGTTCATGGTTTCACTGGCAATAAAAGTCTCTAAAATATTTGGTAGATTTTTTAATCTATTTTCTTCTAATTAATTCTTCATGCCAATAACCACATTCAATGTTGTTGTTTTTTTTTAAGCATAGCTTTAAAATTTCTTTTTATCTTCACTTCTTCACCCCTTGCCTTAGTCTTTCAACTTAGTAAGTGCCTGGAGGTGATCTGAGATAATGGACTGGGTTAGGAAGGACATACCCTTAATCTGATTTTTGCTGCATTGATAAGTCTGAGACATTTGCTCAAAACCAAGGACCCAGATACCTGGTATGACTATGCCCTTTCATTTCCGCTTGCAAACCAGCCAATGCTTTTGTTAGTTCATCTCTTTTTTATAACTTCCCAAAGGCAGCCAAAACCACCAACATATTTCAATAATGCTACTTCCCAACTTCATCACCTAGAACAACAAACATGGTCTAGATTCCAACTGGTTTCTGGTGGCAGTTTTACCATTACATAAGATGCATCTCCAACCCTTTAATATACCATATCTGTTTCCATGCTGCCACTTAGGACAAACCACTATGCCAATGAATCCCACAGCTCTTTCCCTGTGTCTTATGTTCCATCCATTGTTGACCAAATCTAGATAACTCTACCTCTCAAATATCTCTCAAATCTCTCCCCTCTATTCTGTCCCCAGGGTTGCTACCTTAATTCAAGTCATCCTTTCTCATATAAATTAGTCCCCTCATTGGTAGACTCTATGCCTCCAAAAGCCATCACACCTCATCTCTGCTCCCAGAAATGTTCTAAAATGCCAATGCAATCACTGCAACTTATTAAAACATCTGGATGGTTCCCATTGCTTTAAGGCTAAAATTCAAAGTTCTCCCATATCTAATCTCATCTCTAATTACTCTTCAATCCTCATTTCAGTTATGTAAAATCATTTTAGCTCCTGCAAATATACCACTATCACTTTCTCAGATATCCATTATCATGTAGAGGTTAGACCATTGGACTAGATAGAACTTTTCTTCTTTCTTGAGTAAACTTATTCATCCTTCAAAATGTACCAAAGACTTTAAATCTCCTAGGAAGTAGGAGTAAAGCTTGTTTTTATTACAGTATGGGTCACACTATAATTACATATATCAAGTTTAAACTTCTTGAGGACAAACAGCATATCTTTTGTCTCTATACATCTCACATCATAAGTAAATATTGGTTGAAAAAATGCATGACCCCCACAATTATGGCATAGCGATGACCCCCAACATCAATCTTCAATCTTCACCTGTCTCTCTCTTAACTGCCAGATCTTCAATTCCAACTTCCTGATGACTCCATATGCGTGTCTACTTGGCAGATCTAAAACTGAATCCATTATCTTTCCCATCCCCTTATCCACCTGCCTAAAATCCATTTGTCCTCTGAATTCTGATCTCAACTTAATGATGTCTATCTACCCAGTTTCCCAGACTAGACACTTCAATGTCTTTCTTTAGGAATTCTTTGGTCAAGTGAATTGCTGATAGGTTAAAAACAGCACGCAGAGTTCTTTTCTGCAGCATTTCATACAGCTTTCAATATATTAATGCTCAATATGAATCTCAACCAGTAAATGCATTTTCTTAAACTTACCTAACTAGAGATCCCTTTTGCTGAGATGAGTCCCTCAGAACTAGTGTTCAGAAGACTACACTTTGAGAAATGCTGCTGTAAATCCCTCTCCACCTTCTTCCCTGCCCTCAGCTTGAAGTCACCAGTGGCTTTCTATTATACACAGGTGCAAATCCTCGGCCTGCTATTATATTCTCTTCTAAATCTAGCCTCGCTCACCTTCCTAACCTCACTTCTTATCACATCTCTCCTTTCCCAAAACGCATCACATTCTTTCTTCCTTCAGAGCTTTAATATTTTTCTCCCATGGCTCAAAATGGCCTCTTCTTTTCCGACCCTACATTTAACAAACTTCTCCTTAAAACCCCTTCCTAATGAGATCTCTTCTTTTTTTTTTTTAATTTTTTTAAAGATTTTTATTTCTTCATTTGAGACAGAGAGATACAGAGAGAGAGCACGAGCAGGGGGAGAGGCAGAGGGAGAGGGAGAAGAAGACTCCCCGATGATCTGGGAGCCCGATGAGGGGCTCGATTCCAGGACCTGAAGATCATGACCTGGAGATGCTTAACCATCTGAGCCACCCAGGCACCCCTACTGAGATCTCTTCTGAGAAACTTTCATTCTGGCACTTGGTTGGTTACTCTTCAGTGTCTCCATAATGCTTTGCACTTACCTCTAGTACAGCAATTGTCACAACTGGTGATAAGACATTACCCAGGCATTCATCCCCACCATTACTCTATGAGCCCTTTAATCTTTGTCTCTCCAGCTTCAAACATAGTGCCCGCCATAGAGCAGGCACTCATTGAATGAAAAAAATTCACATGAAAGAATAACATAACAAGCAATAACAAGAGAGGAAAAATGGAGGTGAAGTTATGAAGGCTTAAACAGAAATGTATCTTAGAAGTTATATATTTCAGCCATTAGTCTCTGGAAAACAGTATCACTTTGCTTAAATAGACTTCCAGGTTCTATCTTACCAAGTTCCTGATAGAAAGTAAACCTTTACTATAATTTGTCTTAAAGGAAAATTCTATAGCTTCCAAAAAATCTTTTTGGGGTTTTGGGGGGAACACATTCACAGACAGCTTGCCTACTCTAACTATCCTGCTCAACAATAGAATTCAAAGCCATAAACCTCTCACTGCTTTATTAACTGTGAACTACACAGTCTGAGGTCTTATATTAGAAGAAATATCACTCTGTTGGAAGACGTGGCTAAGCAATTTTGTCCCAATAAATTCCTCATGCCCATTAGCATAGTCTCTCCTCTCAATTTCTGGTGGCCCCAGAGCTTAGTAACTCTTTTAATCATGGCTCCCCACCTTCCACTGCTAAGAATTAAAGTGTGGGCTTTTGTTTCAACAAGGAAATTCCATTAAAAGCACACCAGAAGCAGTTTTGCCTGTTGGTTTAATGAACTTCTTTGCTACACCAAAAACTTACCTTTCACAATCAGATCCATAGAGTCCTTGAATTTTTCCTTTACACTAAAAATGAATGGCTCCTTGAAAGAAGTTTGTTGAGAGGGCTCCTTAAAATGTTCACTTTTGAACAGATGTTTGGGAAAACAAATACGTTTGTGTGCTGTCCGAAATTCTTGGACCACATCAAGTGTTTCCTTTTCTTTAATCTCCAAAGGTATGAATTTGCCAGATTTTGGTTTTTGATGTTTATTTTTAAAAACATTTATAGAAGTACCTTGAACTTTATTCTGTGAGTAAAACAAAAATAAATTTAATAAAATTTAATATTAATCATATAATAAAATTATACATTTTATTAATAAGTTAATAAAATTATATCCACTAAATGCATTTTACAACATACCTTACTATATAAGATATTTACTATAAAGCATATGACAGTAATCAGGTAAAGCAGATGCTATCCTTTATAGTTCTCCAAAAGCCCTTAACAAGAATGAGGGTTATATGCCACTTAAAATAAAAATGTAAATTCTCCAATAGTAATTTTCTCCTCATATGTGATATTTTCAAATGCAACTTTAAAGTCCATTTTAAAACAGAAGTTTTCAAATAGTAAGCATATAAGAATTTAATAATTTTCAAGCATCTTTTAAGCATTTTCTAATGTCCATAAAATGCTAACACTCTCAAACCTCTTTCTGTTGAATATAAGAAATTATAGCTCATACATGGAAATAGGTTCTCAAGAAAAGTATACTAATAATCAGATATGTATTTCAGATCCTTTCAATCACTTAATTCCTTCTTACTTTTGACTACCTTGAGTAATAGAAAAATAATACAGCCCCAGGTCTCTGACAGGTAATTATCCAAACCATTATAATTGTTCTATTCTAGACATTCTCTTGGCCCATAGATAGAGCTATAGTTCCCTGCCCTCGTCACTCCCCTCCAAAAAAATGTTGCCAACTCAAGACACCAATAAGGAGGTTTTAAAATGCTAGTACTATGTTCTGCCAAGCAACCAAAGATGGAAGAGTATACTCTTATGATTGGAAAAAATTCTTTAAAAAGTCAAGTACATCTATCTAAAGTACATCTATCTAACTCTTTAGTCTGTGAAGTTTTCATCCCATGTGCCTACTAGTGAAATCAATATAATTTAAAATTATTTTTAATCAGTTAGAGGAAAAACTTAGTTAAGCAGTGTTAACAATGTTGATTAGAAAATTAAAACCACCTATGACCAGTCTCAGCCTAGAGGACCATTCAAATGAAACATATGTAACAATTATAATCCCCCTCCCCTACACTGTAAGCATTGAAAAATATTTAAAATCGTTATCTAAAACTCAGTTTTAAAATAAAAAGTATTGGGGCGCTCAGCAGGGAGTCTGCTTCTCCCTCTGACCCTACCCCCTCTTGTGCTCGTGCACTCTCTCTCTTTCTCAAATAAATAAAATCTTTAAAAAAATTTTTTTAAGTATTCAAAAGGGGATGGTATACTGTGGCCAAATAAGTCATCTTAAGATCCCCTTTCCTCACCTATCTCTCCAAAGACCCATTTGTCACAATAGCAGCTGTCCCCCCAAATTTCCCATCTCCTCTGGAGATGCTTGCCTCTAAAATTTCATCCTGTGCTAACTCCCCTATCTCTTTGCTGACCCATTCCCTTACACTCGTTCTCACCTTCCAAATCTATGCCATTCAGCAAATATTTATTGAGCCAGCCACAAAGTTTGTTGCTGGAGATGCAACAGTCAAAAAGAATCACTGCCCTCAAGGAACGATCAGACTGGTAAACGGCTCTTAACACAAGGTGATATGAAAGAAGATACAGGGAAGCATGTCATGCTGGGGGCAGACAGCTCATGGCATATTTCCTAGTTTAGCTTTATCTAATAGTGTTTAAATACAGATATTTATTTGAGATATGTAATTCAAATATTTCTGTGATAATTCATCAAAACATTAAAAATTGGATTAAATGTGCAAATACACATGTAATTAAATAATCTGGATAGCTATAAAAATCTTATTTTTAAATGCAATCTAAAATCAATTTTTATAGCTAGTAAAGATTTCATTTGTCTCTTCTATTCAGAATCTATTAGGGTTCATGCAACCATTTGGAACAATCACTGTAGTATACAAAAATAGTTATTAGTTTCCTGAAAAATAAGTTAGATAAAGGCAAAGCATTAACCTCATTTATTTTCTCATAATGTTGGGCAATGAGAGTTTTCGCTTCTTGCAAAAAATCTTGCTTGGTGATCTCTAATACAGGACCTAAAACAGAAACACAAAATGTTTTATTTTTTAATGTAATTAATGTACTTTCTTAATCACAAATGGCAAAACTATGAGATTAAAATTTGGGCAGTGATGATTCTTGCAGAACATTATAAAAGGTAAGTGTTCCAAGTGGAAGTTAACAGTGGATGCAAAAGACGTTCATGTAATGCTCCTTCAATGTAATATTTTACTTTAGAAAACATCAGCTTACAAAGGTGAGAGTGATAAGGTAGATTATTCTAATTTATTAAAGTCTAGGGGAACCAATTATAGTACACAAAATTTAAATCCCCTTCAGCTTTTAAAGTTCTTTAAATATTACTATACAGACACATAACATGACTTGGGCGCAAAAACGATTAACAAATCTAAGTGTGTTTTCTATACCCAATGACTAATTCATATGGCTGTACATTTCTTTACAAATATTTACCTTCCAACTAGTTAAAATTATAACTGCAAAATAAACTCAATAGGTTTATTAGGTAGGAATAGCAGTGACATAAAAAATACACACCTACAAATGGGTAACATTATAATAACTCTTACCCCATTTATATTTTCTTAAGATTCTTATTCTTTTTATCCCAAGCTATGTATAGAATTCTATAGCATAGACTACATCATTCTCATTTAGTCTTGTCTAAGTTTTTCTCCTGATATATTTCCTTCATTATTAGCTGATTCTGACATTTATAAGTGTTTCTTGGCTTCCTCTTCTTAACCTGGACTCAGTAAAGTTTATTACCAAATTATTGATTCAAATCGGCTTTTCAATCTAGCCAGTGTGATCCCCATTCCTATAACTCTACCTCCTTTAGTATTCTTAGGATCAAGATTTTCTCTCTTCTTTTCACCCTCTCATGTTTTAAGCAATTAAAAAATTCATCTTGGGTGCCTGGGTGGTTCAGTCAGTTAAGCGTCTGCCTTCGGCTCAGGTCATGATCTCTGGGTCCTGGGACCGAGTCCTGAGTTGGGCTCCCTGCTCAGCAAGGAGTCTGCTTATCCCTCTCCCTCTGCCTCTCCGCCCCCCACTCGTGCTCTCTCTCTCTCTCCCCCGCCCTCTCTCTCTCTCGCTTTCAAGTAAATAAATAAAATCTAAAACTTAATTAATTAATTAAAAAGTCATCTTCATGCAAATCAAAATCATAATGAGATACTGTCTTAGTCCATTTGGGCTGCTGTAACAAAATGCCACAGGCTGGGTGACTTACAAACAACAGACATTTCTCACAATTCTGGAAGCTAGTAATGCAAGATCAAGGTGTCAGCATGGTCAGGTGAGGGTCCTCTTCCAGGTCCCAGACATCTCATTGTATCCTCACAAGGTGGAGGGGACTAGGGAGCTCTCTGGGGCCCCTTTTATAAGAGCACTAACCCGTTGATTGAGGGATCCACCGTCTGACCTAATCACCTCCCAAAGGCTCTACCTCCTAATATCATCACCTTTTGGGGTTGGAATTTCAACATTCCAATTTTGGGGGAACCCAAACATTCAGATCACAGCAGACACCACCACATACTCATCAGAATGGCTAAAATTAAAAAGACTGATGACAGCCAAAATTGGTGATGCTGTGGAGCTACTGGAACACTCATGTGTCTTTGGTAGAAATGCAAGATAAGATAATCAGCTTGGAAAAATTATAGCAATTTCTTATAAACCTTAATATACACCTAACCTGGGACCTAGCAATCCCACTCCTAGGTATTTATCAAAGAGAATGAAAAATATTTTTACAAAAGCATTGTACAGGAATGCTCCTAGAAGCTTTATTCATAAGAGTTCTAAACTCGAAACAGCCCAGATGTGTATCAACAAAAGAACAGTAAAGAAACTGTGGACTATTCACAAATGAAATACCACTCAGCAATAAAAAAGAATCAAGCTACTGACATACACAACATGGATGAATTTCAAAATCATTATGCAAAGTAAGCATTCTTACACACACACACACACACACAAACACACACACACACTACTTTATGGTTCCACTTATATGAAGTTCTAGTGCAAACACAGCTAATATATGGGAGATAGAAAAGAACAGTGATTCTTCTGGTCAGGGATGGCATGGATTGAGTGAGAAGGGACAGGAAGGAAATTTCTGGGGTAACAGTAATGTTCTATACTCTGATGCACAGTGGATCAATCACACAGGCATATGTAATTATTATAACTCAACGAATATATACTGAAGATTTTGGCATTTTGTTGTCATACATTTTATATCAATAGAATAAAAAATAGAAGCAAATAATGAATCCTGACTAATGATATGCATGTTGATGGATGGATACAAAATAAATCAAATGCAGTAAAATATTCATGGTAAAAACTGGGTGGTAAATCTACGGGTGTTAATTTAAAATTCTTTCAAGCTTGCTGTATGTTTGAAATTTTCATAACAAAATATTGGGGACAAGTTCTCCCTTCATTCCTTCACAAAATTTCCCCTGACTTTTCTCCGTGTAGACTCAGGGGCCACAGGCAGCTGTTAGTTTGGGGACAATACCATCCTGAGGACTGAAGCCTGGGGGAGACCCTCGCAATAAAGGAGGGAGCCAATTGGACTCTAGCCACCCCCTTGAAAGTGCTGGGTTAGGAGAAAAAGCACCTACTAAGGTGTCCCATCACCGGGCAGTGGAATTGCTGCTCTGCAATCATTCTAGAAAAAAACAACCTCTTTTCTTGCTCCCTAGCTTCTTCCCTCTTTCCACTCTCACCTATGGAAAGTATGTAAGTCATCGACAAACCCAAATCTCCCTGTCCGCCCACACTTGCCTCTGTATTGCCCCACATTCAGAGCTATCTACATATTTCTAAGGATATAGATTGGTGGATTTTTTTCTTCTTTCTAATAAAAAAATACTTGCCAAGACTTCATGCACGTGCTTCAAGACGTATACATGTTCCTTGTGTAGATCAGAGCACAAAGTCACACATCAATCATTATATGGTTCACATAAATGTCACCACTCAAAGCCATATGATGCACGGTCCTCACATGGAAGAGACAGGCGTTCTGGAATGAAAACTGTTTCATCAAGTTTCAACTAAAATCTAAATCTACTTTGAGGAGGCTTCTCACCAGACCATGTGCTCCCCAGAGGAAAAGCAGGAACGTATTCTGAGGAGTGATGCCACAACCTCTCCTCTGTTTCTTCCTCTCACGACCATCTTTCCTCCTTTAATTCCCTTCTTCTGACTACCTCCCCTATAATTACTTATAATTACAGTATTGCCATGTGTCATACACATGACAAACAATAAAACTTATTCATAATGAAATGATGAAGTCACCGGTTTTTGGTGAAAATGTAGCTTTATAAAAACTATCATGTCTTCATTCTAAATGAAGATCTAGTCTTCATTTATAGGCAAAGCTCTGACAGGCAGAGGGCCCTTCCGAAGTCAGCCATGCTGGAAGCCCACCCAGGAGCTGGTCTCCTGAGTTGTTTCCTGCTTTTTTTCTACATATCTGCTGCCTTTCCCAACTTCATGAACTACTTCTTGTGAGTACTGGAGACTCCTCTGAGGTTTGCCTGGTCACTCTAGTGAAATATTTGCCTTTCATCGCCACTTTCTGCTATGGACTGAAGACATGTATTCCCCCAAAATTCATATGTTGAAACCCAATGCCCAATATGATGGTATTAGGAGGAGGGTTCTGAGGGTGGAGCCCTCATGATTGAGATTAGTGCCCTTTGAAGGAGACTCCAGAGAGCTAGGTAGTCCCTTCCACCCTGTGAACCTACAGTGAGAAGACATCCGTCAGTGAGGAAGCAGGCCTCGCTGGACACCAAATCTATTGGCACCATTATCTTGGACTTCCCAGTCCCCAGAACTGTGAGAAATAAATTTCTGTTGCTTATAAGCCACTCAGATTATGACATTTTGTTACAGCAGCCCAAATAGACCAAGACACTTTGATTTCAAGCTGCCAGTCCTAAGCCCTCATTGTAATTTAATGTGCTGATAAAGCTGTTGATATTTTCCCTTCTTAATTGGCCTTAGACAGAGGAGTTAAATTCCCAAGGCAGCATCTTACTTCTCTCTGGGCTCTTTGATGACCAGTGCATCTGGTTTTCCCCATCACCAAGAGCCACCTGTCACCTGTGAACTGTGGAGAAGCTAGGATACACTCTGGCAAAGCTAATGGCCCTCTTGGAACCAGCAAGTAGATTCTGACTCATCAAGGGACTGCCACCATGAACCCAGTCAGGCAGTGAAGTTCTTGAACAGGACAAGGCCTGGGACTGTTCTTAAAGGGGCAGAGAAAGACAGCCACCACCCAGAAAGAGTGATTTCTCACAGATCCTAAAACGGCTCCAGCTGAAGGCATGTTGACACGCTGACTCCAAGTTGGCATTTAAGCCTGAGCCCTCGTTGGCATTTAAGATGCTGAGGCAGGGGCGCCTGGGTGGCTCAGTTGGTTAAGCAACTGCCTTCGGCTCAGGTCATGATCCTGGAGTCCCAGGATCGAGTCCCACATTGGGCTCCCTGCTCGACAGGAAGTCTGCTTCTCCCTCTGATCCTCCCCCTCTCATGCTCTCTGTCTCCCATTCTCTCTCTCAGATAAATAAATTAAAAATCTTTAAAAAAAAAAAAAAAAGATGCTGAGGCAGCTGTTCGGATTTTCTCCTATAACTAAAAATTAGCCTTTGAACCAAAAAGTTAAATTCTCAAGGTAGCACAAGAGCATTCATATCTCAGCGCCTTAGGAAAGGCAAATGGCTGGTGCCAGTTTGTCCCAGAAAAGAAAAGAAAAAAAAAAAAAGGAAAAGAAAAGGCAAAGCTAGTGTGTGCTATTTTTATAATTTGAGTTGAATATATATATTCAACAAGTAAGTCTAAAATTATGAGAAATTAAACAACTATGATGTTAAGAATCCATCCAATTAATCTTTGAAGCTTCTGTTTCTTTGTTCATAATATGTTAAGTATACAAGCATTCAGCTTTTATACATTGAAGGGCACATTGGAACTTCAATTATTAAGAGGAACTTGTCAAGGTCTGCTCCTTCTCTTAAAAAAAAAATCCTGTAACTGAGGCTTTGTTTATTTGCAAATATATACTCATAGCATATAGAGTGACTTTTAAGAGCTCTCATTCCTGAGTCACACTATTTTGGTCTTGAATTACAATTTGCTCATGAATCTTATTTTATTGTCTTAAGCCTTCATTTTCTCATTTGTAAAATGAGGATAATAATAATAATAAATCTTGCATGGGGTTGTGAGGATTCAATTGGACTTGGTTACAAAGCACTTAGCACAGCGCCTGGCACATAATAAGTTTTCAATAAATGTGAGCAATTATTACTGTAGTTATTGTATTATTACTATCAGTGAGCTAAACTTTTCCCCAACCATGTTTATATTATTAATTTCATTAGTCAATCCTCATTTCTTCTGTAGCACAAAGATAAATTTCAACTTTCTAAATAGGTTTGAATAAATCTGGTCTTATTATAGTTCTTTTTATCCAAAACTAATTAATTAATAGATTTGCAAATAATAAAATTTCATTATACTTTGGATCCTTCAAGTTACTAACCCCCCAAAAGCAATAAAAATTATTATAAGCAATAACAAATATTTTATGATAAAGTTCATGAAGAGATTGAAATACTTACACTACCTACATAAAACATGAGTGCAAATATTAACATTTCCATGGGGAAAGATAATGAATTTCTAATGCCAAACAATTTCACCAGCCTAAAATATTTTCTTACATTTATTTTATATTTAAAAAAAAAAACTCACTCTTCGTATATCATCAATTTAATGGTATTATGACTAGTAGTTCATAAAACTTCAGAATTCTCTTAATGCTTTAGAGCTCTGTGTAATTGCTCTAGTAAATCTGTGAAGTGAAAATACCAGAAGACCTGACTATGGAAGCTATAACAGGGAACAAGCCACTGGCCATCTCTTGATTGTATCATTGAGCAAGTCTTTTCTCCCCTAGAAAGACCCAGGGACTTGCAAACATGTGTTTTTTATAACCATAACAAAAATAACTGGCCTTACTAAGAGGCTTTCTAACCTTCCTACAAACAGGCTGCACTCTCCAGAGACTTCACAAAAATTTACCAAGGAGATATCCTAAACAAAGATGTATGACTATATGGCTAAGGCCTCCTTTGCCTATATAGTCAAAGTAAGTGCCTGTGTGTTTGATTTCAGAGGTGTTAGAAAAGCCATACCTCAGACTCAATGAGGTTTAGTAATATGCTCATTAAGCACCTACTAAGTCCCAGATGCTAGGTGTGCTAAATTTGGTGCTAATTTGGTGCTAAATGTGCTGAAATAAATAGGACATTGGTTATCCCTACCTTCCAGGTATTTAGAGCCTAACTCCAGAAAAACTATTGTCAATAAAGGCCATGACATTTGGTACGATCCATATGCTATGACATAGGCCAGCATAAGTCACCAACATCCCACCAACTGCCAGCTCATGAATGTATGAATTTCCCTTTAAAGATGTAAGACTTTGCATTGTATTATTAGAGATGAGGTTTAAAACAGAAATATCCCAAGAGAAATAAAACAGTGAATCAAATCCAGACTAAGGCACTGGTTTTAAAACTGTGCTTCGTCAATTTCATGTGCCTTCGGGGCTCTTCCATCTTTCAATCAGAGCATCTCAGACCTTATCTGTTTTATATATTTGAGCTCTTCCTAAGTTTTCATTTTGTAGGAAATATTCCTTGGCTAAAAATAACAAACACACAGCAAACAAGTGAAAAACAAACTAACAAAGGATTAAATATTACTGTGTGTGCTGAAAGATCTTCTTCTCAAAGCAGATTCAGAGGAAGGGCAGAGTTAGGTTAGGAGCTTTAGGGATGAGGAGCAGGAGAGGGAAGCCGGAACAAAGATGGTTTAATTCATTCCAGGGAAAAGAGTTGTGGAAACTAGGAAACGGAAGGGAAGCCCTTCGAAGAGGAACCTCAAAGAAAATAGTTTATATTCAATTTCATTACATATAAGTGAGGAAAATATAATTTGTCTAATTTCTTTTCAAAAAGAGTACAAAAACCAAGTGAAACCCAAATTCCAAGTGGCATATGGCTATCATCTCCTAAAACCTATATTCGGCAATCATTTCCACAACACATTCTGCATTAAGACCCAACGCTCCACTTCCAATGAAACAGCATTCTGTTGAGTTGTCTCTTACACACTTTTCCTCACTCCCCCACTTTCTTTATTCCTTCTTTAGCAAAGTGGCTTATTGTCTTTGCAATAATAAGTGATTAATAGGTTGCCTACCTACCTCAGGGAGAATTTACAGTGCACCTCCCCTCTAAAAAGAAAAAAAAAAATCTCTCTATGTTAATCTCTCTCAGAGTGGGATTCAGTTGCTAAGGAGATACAGGGGAATTCCCAGCTTTCAGGATCAAGCCTTCAAATATAATTTAAGTAATTATGGGCATGACCCAAAGGCAAAATGGAACTAGAGAACATTCTTCCTTTCTGCCCTTTCCATCTAAAAATGTGCTGTATTATCCAAATAGAGAGTTACAGTAATCCACATGGCTCTCTATTTGTAGCCTAGAACAGAAGCCCACTGGCCTGTACCATATACTGTCTGGGGTCACAAGAGCCAAGGGGAAGCTGCTTAACCAGAAAACCTTGATAATCCCAACCCTCTGTTCAGCACTCTGTGTTTCTCAATCAGGCTATCTAAGCCTAAATTTGAGATTAACCGAAGTGTTGCCAAGTCTAGATCAGCTCTAAAAGAAATACAATGTGAGCCACATATGTAATTTAAAATTTTCTAGTAGCCACATTTTTAAAAATGAAAAGAGATGAAATTAATTTTAAAAACATACAGTAATTATTATAGATTTTATTTAAATTATATCCAAGTATTATCATTTCAACATTAATCAATATTAAAAATTAATGAGATACTTTACGTTCTTTTTTTGTTCTACCTTCAAAATCTTGTATTTTGTACTTATATACCTCTCAATTCAGATACTGGCCTTAGATTTTCTAAAGTATCCACTTGCAAAAATATATTCACATACTCAAGTTGTTCCAAACACGGTTAAAAGTTTTCCAATGACTGAATTATCAGTTTTTTGTCCTGAAGTTAAAATGACTTAAAATTAAATATTCAGTTCCTTAGTTTCCCTGGTGACACTTCAAGCACTGAATAGCCATTTGTGGCTAGTAGACACCATATTGGACAGCACACTACATTAAAACCTGCTATAGATATCTCAAAAGTTGGTGACACTGAAATAAAGGGAATGAGATGAATTCTTACAAGGCGCACCAATAACTTTAGTGTTCTAAGGATTAATAATTAAAAGTCTCCTCAAAGCTGGTGGAGCATGAAGCATTATGCACTGAGTTGTTACGGAAGTGTGATACTCACATTCTGCCTTATCGGGCATAGCCTTTGCAGCAACCATGATGGGCGGTTAGGGTGATCTTCTTTTTTGAAAGTTGGGCTCCAAGTCCCTAAACACAATTACATTAAATAATGCATTGATTATAAATACTAATTTTTAGCTATTTCTTTCACCCACTCATAAAAAAAAATCGGATGAATTATTAACACTTGTTATACATGACTCCTCTGCTCTAAAATCTTCCATGCCTACCCCTCCAAAAGACAGAGATAACAACAGCTAGCACTGGGTGGGGCTCTGTGGTTTACCAAGTGCTTGTATATACGTATTACCTTACTGGTTCCAAACAACCTGACAGGAACTATTGTCCCACTTTTGGCAGATGTGGAAACTGGAGCTCAGAGATGTGAGACAACTTGTCGATGTAAGCAGTTATTTCATGGCACATACAGAACTCAAGTCCCCATCTTTGGGCCTAAGTCCTAAACAGGCTTCTCCGATTTCTCACTATTTTCCAAATAATATCCTGTTAATACCTGGCACATACCTTACACATCCTTGCCTTGAGCTTACACACTTGAGCTTAGGTTGAGGCTAGCCTTCTACTCAGAATGCCCTGCTCTCACACCTTTTTTTTTTTTAAAACATATGTCCTGCCCATCCTTACAGCATAGGTTCAAATCCTACCTCCTTCATGATCACCCGGGCCTCTAGGAGTCTGCTCTTGTAAACACAGTAGTCATGATGTCCATGTCTCTCATTTGAAACTTATCAAATGCTTCTGTGTAAGGAGCAAAAAAAAAAAAAAAAAAAAAAAGAGTGATAAATATAAATAGAAGTCCTATATTCTCAATTAAACTCCAAGTGCCTTGAAAACCAAACTATACTTCATACCAGGAGCTCCTCAACCCTGGATGTCTAGTAGAACTGCCTGGGTGGGAGGTGGTTAAAAATATATCCGTCTAGAGTGGAACCTAGGCATCTGCATTTTTTAAGTTTCCCAAAAGATTCAAACAGTCAGCTGGAGGAGCGAACCCCTGCCTTTTGCCTTGACCTTCATGGTTCCCGGCTCAGTGCATCCCATTCTGGAGGTGCTCAAGAAAGGGCTGATTAATGTGTTTATTGAGCTGAGCCCTTCCTCCTACATTTGAAATTATCATTACTTCCAAAGGATTATTCAAAATGCATCAAATGTTGCCCCTACAGCCAGGGAATCAGTTACACCAGTGCATACTACGTGTGCTCACATTGCTTTGTAATTAGAAATGGCAATATTAAATGCTTTACAGAGTCCCATGGAGCCTCTTGTTCTAAAACTCTAGGTATAATTTTCAGTTAGCTGACTAGAGCATCATACTGTAGTGAAGTGTCCAAGACCTGTTAAATAATTTGGGGATTATTTGAGTAAATCCACAAGCCATGGGGCGCCTGGGTGGCTCAGTGGGTTAAGCGTCTGCCTTCGGCTCAGGTCATGATCCTGGAGTCCTGGGATGGAGTCCCGCATCAGGCCCCCTGCTCGGCGGGAAGCCTGCTTCTCTCCCTCTGACCTTCCCTCCTCTCATGCTCTCTCTCTCAAATAAATAGATAAAATCTTAAAAAAAAATCCACAAACCATCATGGCCCTATGGAAGTCATGACTCTATGGCCACATGCTCTTAAATAAAAGGCTACGACACTTTCCCTCAACTTCCACCCAGAGGGGGAAAAATTTTATAGTCACAGTTTTAAAAAACAAATCTGGAACATCTAAAAATGATTAAATCTCAAACTGTCAGCATTACACCATGGGCAAGAGCACCAACCATGTACCTCATCTGCCTAGTTCTACAAATGAACTGGGACAAATTAAAATACTGCACCTCCCTTAGCAATTAACAATCAGAACTCATCTTCTGGTCTGGCTTAATTACTTCTTCTTTTCATTTAAATATGAGAAGAAAATAAAGGTGTTTTGTACTCTGTCATTTTCTTGTTTTCTTGTCTATCTCCATAGAAATGGACTCTTCTCTGGGGCGTTTAGCTCCTCCACCTTAATTCAGTGTGCCAGGAGTGTCAGCCTACATTAAATTGGCTGGCAAGCAAGACATCCCACAGCCCTTTTAATGCACAAAACTAGCCAAGCATCTTAAAGGGGTGCTGGCATGGTAATGCCCCCGCAAACCGAGATGATAGAGGATGCTGAGACAGGAGCTGGGGGTGGAGGAAGCCCTGAAGGATGGAATTACTTAAAGATAAGCAGCACACTGACATGGAATATCGGCAGATAGAATCCCTCTCCACTTTACATCCCCAGCAGACAGTTAGGAAATGCTGAGTCCCTCCTGATAGGCTGATCGATTAATAAGTGCAAATCTAGTGTCTGGGTTGTACAAGGGGTATGCCATCTATTTTGGAAGAAAAGGCAAACACGTAAGTCAAAATTCTAAATAAAATGCAAACAACTGTATACCAGATGTCATAAGAAAGTCTGTGAGCTAGGGTGCCTGGCTGGCTCAATGGGTAGAGCATCCGACTCTTGATCTCGGGATCATGAGTTTGAGCCTCACCATTGGGTATAGAGATCATTTAAATTAAGAAAAAAAAAAAGTCCGTGAGCTTTGTAAGTAAGTGATATAAATCCATGAGTGCCATGAGTTCACATGAAGATGGGATCTCTGGAGGCTGAGAAAGTGACCTAAGAAAGGTGTTCAAGGGAGACTAGGCGAAATGGAAGGTTAGGTGTAGGGGTAATAGTGACATTTTGATTAACTGGTTCAGTACAGGCATTGACCAGGTAGAACTGGATGCTGGCCAGCACACCTGTGTGGTACTGAATATCAGTCCTTCGTGGGTCAGATTGGCTGATTTAAGAGGAACAGAGAAGCAAATGCAAGGTGAGAACAGAATGCACATGGTTTGGGGGACAGCAAGCAGTGGCTCTGTTTAAGCAAAGGGTTGGACTCTATGCTGCTGAAATGGGCAACAAACCATTGAAGTATTTTGAAGCAGGCACTGACATAAGTAGTGTTCTAGAATGTGACTTCCATAAGGAAGGACTTTGTTTTCTTCCCTGCAGTAGTCCCAGTGCCTTTAAGAGGACCTGGCCTAAAGAAGGATTTCAAAAACTGTGGAAAGAGTAATTATGGCAACAGCATGCTGGACAGGGATGCCCTACCTTTTCATGTCACATCTGTGAAAACATCCTTCCTCCCTTTCTCCTCCAGGAGGTGCAACTCAAGGCTCTCCTATTGGGTTACAGGAAGGCTAAGGGCTTTCTATTTCTATGCAGATAAAAAGCAAACAAAAGTAGAAACAGTATTTCCCTTCCTTATCTCCTTAGCTTACCCTTGCAAAGCGGATGACTGATAAGACTTTATCATGGTACCCTGTATAATTAAGGATCCTGGTGACAAAAAACTGCCCTGTGGCCTTCAGCAGGACTTGGGGAAACAGGTCATGATCCACGGATCTAAACAGGCAGTTTCAACAGCTGATAGAAGGGTGCATGAGAGCAATCTTCCTGACCTTCAATCACATGCTACTCCCTTCCCACTTCTCCACGTTAGAAATTGTACCTATACCCACCCAGTTGCGCAAGCCATAAAACGTTGACTCCTTCTATATTTTACCTACCACATCCAATCCATCAAGTCTTCTACATTTTAACTTCAAAATATATCTCCTTCTCCTCAATTTCCCTCTCCCGGCCACAATCATCTCATTCTTGGAATGTTGAAACAGCCTCCTAACTGCTGTCTTAATCCCCACTCTTATCCTATTCCAATTCCTTCTCCACACAGCAGGAGTTGTCTTCTTAAATGTGTATCAGGGCGTATCATTTCCTTTCAGTGACTTCCAAATGCATTTAGAATAAAACCTAGCTCCTTGCCTTGGGGTTTTCTCTCTCTTGCAACTGAGTAAATATGGATGAAAAATATAGGACTGACATCCCACTGCTCCACCGAGAACTGAGCCAAGGGGCTTGCTTTGACTTTTCTTAGCCTTTAGTTTCCTCATTTGTAAAATAAAACTGTTGGGCAAGAAGACCTCAAAGGCCCCATTACTTTCTAAAATCTATTATTACATTGCTTTTGTAATGTATATAATTCTAACTGGCCCCAAATTTCAAAAAACTGCGTGGTTAAGGGTTCCCGTCTCCATCCTGTCCCTCACCACTTTTCTCTGTTCTCTGGAACTTGGGAACAGAATATCCAAGAAAGTGGCCTATGGAAAGAGGTCCATCACGTCCCTGGTTGCAACCCCCGCCCCCCCCCCCCGCCCCCACCGTGTGCCTCTCAACCCTTGGCCACTACAATCGCCCTCTGAGATTCTGTCCAGTCATTTGTCCTGTTTCATTCTTTAATAAGTGTGAACCCTCCTCCACTTTTTCTCTTTCAAGTCAACAAGGACCTTCAGGTCATTTTCCAGATCTGCTTCCTGACTTCTCTCTGCTGAGTCTCCTTGTCCCTCTGACCAGACATCAGATATGCTGGTACCAAACAACAGGAATGAGAAAACAGAAAGGAGTGCAGGGAAAGAAAACAAAATGGAACAAGTCCAATACAGCAGAGCCAATATTAGGCATCTATAATGGGTAAAAATGTATACCAGACAATAGGAGAATAAAAAAAGTACAACTGCATAATTAAAATTATGAACCAAATTAGTCAGATGGCCATAAAATGAGTTGGAAAGAAGATACTATATGAATGCATGATCATTAATACCAGCTACGCTGGGATCCTGGGGAATGCGCCTGACAGTGGCAAGCACACTGCTTTCCCGCCACGGAAACCTCCCTATGATTCTCTAACTAACTTGGGTGAATACACTTCTCAGAGCCAGAATTGGGAAGGAAAAGGACATAACTGAATCATTAGGATATTTGCTCCAGCTGACACAAACAGCAGAGTCTCAGAGCACTGTGGAGAGAGCAATGTTGGATTTCAGTCCTGATTCTGCCATTGCACAAGTGTGTGATCTTGGCCAAACCACTTAACCTCACTGAATTCCACCTCCTTTCTGAATTCCTGTCTATAAGTGAAGGCTTTAAAATAGACACACAATTTTTAAAAGGGGAGCTTCAACCGATGTTTAAAGGAACTCTTCCTCAGAAGTCAATGAGGAGAACAGATAAAAGCCTTGCTGTTCTGACCAAAGAGGGTCTCAGGGCTTCTCCCGGCATGGGGGTCACTGCCACCAACCCCAACCCCAACACTACCAGATCAGAGACACCCAGCCGATGATTTCACAGGGACCTTCTGGATGTAAGGTTCAACTTCACCAAACAGATGTTATGCTCTATTTCCTTGTGGTCTTGCATGGACACTGACACTAATGAAGAGATCCCAAATATTTCTGGTTTTACATAAAATAGTTAAATCTTTAAGTCACAAAAGAAAGCTGTTAATTTCATCTCAATTCTAAAGTCATGAAAAAGAAGATGCTAAACTGGGAAGACTCGAACATGATACTTTAAAATACTCTTTAGCTAAAACAGGAATTCTTTCCCATTTGGCCTCAATGTGTACAACTGGTCCTTCTCAGCCATAATCAGTAAGCTATAGAGTTTTTCTGTGATCTTACCTTAGGGTTTTGATATACAGATGTATAAAGTAGGATCTGGCAATACATGAACATGTACATTGAAGGCCACCAAGAATCAAAGCTTACTGACAGAAGATGATGGGCTGGCGTTAGTGACATAAGACTATCATCCCATAGTGGTTAAGTGGAGTAACGTGGGGGGGAAAGGAAAGCAAGCAATGTCAGATGGAGCCATACCTCAGTAAAGAGATCATC